AATATTATATCATATGCATATGATAAATTTATTACTAAGACGTCGCATTTTCATAACAACAGCAATAATACATATATTATGTTATAGGTAATTGTGGCCCCCTCAAACATTTTATTTTTAAGGAATTGTGTTTACTGTTTAGGCAATTATTTTGTTCCTTAACTTCAAATCAAAAATGTTTACATTTTTTAAATTGAGCCATTAGCAGTAGGTGCCTTCATTTTTGTTAGTCGATAAGGTCGTTTTAATAAAAAATGTATATAGTTTGCGGGGACTTTAAAAAGTTAGTCTAATTATGGCGTATGAATTTGTCTTTAGTCGTAGTCACAAAAATAATACTTAATATACTATAAATAATATTATTTTATTTGTCTGAACAATATTTTACAAATAAATAATATTCACAATTATAGTTTTAAACGAGGCTTTTCACCAGGTAGGTATTAAATATTTAAATTCGCAAATCACTCACGCACAATCATCATCAGTGCTTATATTAAACAAATATTAATAAAAGTAAATCGAACCGACACAAGATCTTATGCCATCACTCATCACTCACTCATCATACGTCTTAGTTTTATTTTTAGTAAAATCAGTTTTAAAAAACAACGTTCACATAAATATTATATCATAATAAATAACGACTATACCTTTTAAACATAACAATACTTTTTTCTTGTTTGCATAGATGAAAACCAGTATAACCAATGCCTTATAGATTTATTACAACTTCCTGTTTGGAGTTATTCTTTTGGCAAATGCTTAAGTAGTCTTATTTTAGAATCAAGTTCACCTTTATTCAACATTTATTTTGCAGAGAGGTTAACTAAGTCAGAAATATTTATTCCTTGCGCTTTAAAAGTCTTGCTTCAGCATTAATTACTTTTAAAATTATCAAGTAATGGAATGTCTCTTCTTTAGTTCTTCTAAATAAAAGTATTTCATCAAATAGAAACATTCAGTAATTTGACATCGCGTTAAATACGTATACATAGAATAACACTAATTTTTGAACCAATGGAAACTGATTATCAGTTTATGTAGTGCTGCAGAGATCGATTTTTTTATAATTTGTTGTTTTGACACTGAACTTTATAGCCTTTAGCCTTGTCGATAATTAATACTATATAAAAAATATATTATCAAATTAGGTAACTTATTATATATTCAAGTACACGCTTTCTAATAAATACACGATGGAAACTTTATCGAATGTTTACTCTATATAATAAAGTCATAAACCCAAAAGATTGCTTTACCTACTCAAGAAGTATATAGGTAAACAGTTAATACTAAATACAACAAATAAATAAGCATGAAATGGTTCACTGAACGTCATATGTACGTTTTATAATTAGGATTCAAGGCTGCTACTCGCAGTAAGCTATTATGAAAATAAACTAAGTACCTACGTGAACTAAAGAAAAAGCCAATTCTAAATATTCATATAAATTATTATAAAAAGTTCATTCTCCCATAGGTAATTTAATATAAAAACTAACTCGTATAGGTATATTATGTTGTTTTTTTTTTAAATCAGTTTACCTAAGTTAATTTTATCATGTACAGACAGAGGTATAGTCGTATACCTAGTGTCTAACTACGTATTTTATCAATTAAAGAAGAAATTAGAGAATGTATTACAGTAAATAAGCAAAATAATAATATATTACGTTATATTATCGGGAGACGAGACAGGCGAATCAAAGGAAATATAAATACTAAACATGATATTAAAGAATGTATGGCATCATTTGAATGCCTAATTATTATTATTTTTTTGTATGTGATTTATTCTATAAATGAATGTATCACTAGAAAATCATTTATGATCCAAGGATTGACCGTCTCATCTGAAATAAAATAGGTACCTTTTCTTACAAAATTAGGAAGATTAAGTTAACATTAGACTGTTCTAGAATGAAGGTATAAAGCTATTATTATTTTTAATTTCTATATTTGATACGACTTGTCTATCATAAGCCCTCAAAATTAAGAGAACTCTTCTATTTTTATTATTACTGTATTTACATAGTTTGTTATTATTTTATAAACTGTTTTTTTTTCAATTATTAATTTAATCATAATAAAATTAAATACAATAATATTGTGCATACGCACAGTTTTAAATTAGACACAGCTAATATCTAATATCTAAACTCCGTAAAAGAATACCCGAGTATGGATAGATCAATATGATAATATGAAAATATTTTTGAAGGTGTACCTATAACAATTATAATTGCAAAACCTGTAATGAATTTACAATAAATTCGTCTTTGAAACAAAACTATTTACACTGGTATGACTATTTATTTTTTAAAAAAACGTTTAACAATTCCAACCTTCATACTCAAAAAAAAAAATCATTGTTTTCCGCAAACGATTAACATCTACGAGTATATACATCTTAATAATTATTAATGGCATGCTGGAATATTACTCGTTCCCATTATAGATCGGCAATACGCCCCCATGTAAAGGTTTTTAATAGGGAAATAAAAACAAAAACGAAAACGACGATGACGACGGCAAGTATGCAATAACCAGTTACCTATATTATTATAGTTAATAGTTATAATATCTTCATTTTTCGTTACAAATATATTATACTGATTCGTATCTATTTATTTTTCATTTGCATCACACGATAGTATGACTGCAAATCGAAAACCATTTTACAGTGCATTGTAATCGTGCAGTTGACGTCAACACGGTGTTTGTTTTCATATCGCATATTATTTGCATATTACACACGCTTACAGTGTGACTATAATAGTAGGTACTTAAAGTTAAAGTCGTCCTTATATTATCATGTGGCATATATATAGTGCTATTGCTAGACCATCCGTCACTCCACCTATACGGCACACGAAACAACAACATTGACTAAAAAGTAATAACTGCAATATCATATTGTCAGCAGCGTGCTATGGCCAACAAGCTATAAGAACAACAATCGCAATAATATTTGACATGTACAGTCATAAAAGATATCTCACGATCACTCGTGGCGGCGACGGTGACGTTAGTGAACTGTGCTTACTGCTTGAACAAAATGTCGTCCTTACATCGTCACCTTTCCGAAAACCTATACCATGCGAAATGGTTCGTCCATACAATAACAACAAAAATAACGACAACAGTGACAAATAACAACGACTCATAACTATAAATCTTAGATTGGATATAGCACTTAGTATAAATCAAACTATTCCATAAACTGCATGTCTTGATATCTCTAAGAACAAATTGAAATTTTCACAAAATCGTCAAATGTTCACAATTTTTTATTATTTCTACATCATTGCTATAAAGAACACTATACGAATAACTTATCATATCATACAAGTTATAACGCACACTCCTTTTACCTATTTAATATAAATAAAGTGTATATTATCTATTACCATATCGAAAATCGCTGCACTTGCAGTACAAAATATACCGTCTGAAGTCGAGATTCGGTCACTGTTCACCGAATCGATTAGGAATGCACCGAGATTTTGCCGAGCTAAGAAATGGCCCGAAATATACAGTCGTGTTGGCTAATTGAGGTGATTTTGGCGGTCCGACGACCAGACGATACAGTTCAATCCAAGAACATTGTGCAGACGGTTTCTGCGGGTGATGCACCCGATACCGGCCATCTGCCGCCTCGATTTAGAATCCGGTATTGATCGATTCACTGTCGGCCGTCGACTCGATGCGAACGATTAGCGATAGTCGTGGCAAACTATGCTAATCCAAAGTTTCGTTGGTTAACACGAATATAATGCCGAAGTCAAGATCGAGACGGTCGCGGTGACCCGTCTCGTCGGCGCTGCAGGTTGAGCCAGATGAAACGGACGTGCAGCGATCAAGACAAAGTTCTAGTTCGACGCCGAACATAGCAGTGCCGTCTACTTCAGCCCACATCGAACCCATCCCCGGCGAGAGTTTCGATCGAGACGTCCGAGCTTGCAAACAGCCCAATTAAACCTCACGTGCAGACACCAGTGTCAATTTGGAAACGGACGAAGCGATTCAAAAAAACCTGCACACGGGCTAAGCCGGAATATTCAGCTAGTACAGTAAATTATAATAATCGTTCAATTATAATAATTATTATTGAACACCGGTTACACATATTTAATCAATTTGTCTTATAAATGTCCTATACTAATATATTGTGATGGCATAGGTATTTTAAACACAAAAAAGTATAATAATTCCAATCTTGATACAGAAATCTACTAAAATTAATGATATTTATTGTTTTCCATTAACTATTATTATCTATATTTTATACCAAATATACTAATTCCATGCTTTGCAATATTACTCTTGTATATCTTATTATATTTATACCGTATGTATATGCGAAAACTGCTGGACAACTCAATTGCCTAAATTACCCAGTACCCTACACATATTTTGGAACTCTGTCTGCGGGAGATTAATGGTCCAATAGCCTAGTTGTATGTACCGCAAACTGAATTCAAAAATATGTATAGGGTACTGGGTAATATGAGAGGTAATTTAATTAAAATACAGTGTAAGCTGTTTTTGCGGACACACGGTATAATGTGTTTAACAGGAAAATAAAAATAACGACAAGAACGAACACGACAATTACTTAATCAATTATAACACAATAACCAGTTAAACATCTTCGTCATAAAATATATTCTGCAGATTTGTGTTTATTTGTTTTTTATTTGCATCGTATAAATACAACTGCTAATCAAAAACGATTTTATTGTGCGATTGTGTTGACTTGCAAAAGGTATTCGCTTGCAATTACACATACAGTGTTAGTACAGCTCGGAGTCGTCCTTATATAATTATCTAAAATCGTCACTCCGCAGGAAACCTACTATGTAAAACTGTTCGTCCATAGAACAAAAACAACAGAAGTGACAAATAACAATAACTGTAGTACAAATATTGTAACCTGCAGCAGTGTGTTGCTGCCCTACAAATAACAGCATATTAACAGTAGCAGTAGTCATGTCATGCTGTTACTTACGTTTGTCACGCTGCTAGGTACGGCAGCAGTGACGTTGGTGAGCTGTGAGAGATATCAGCTATTGGAAAATGGTTACGTGGACGTGACCATGGAAAAACGGACGTGTTTGAATAAACAGTCGTTATCAGTGCCCGTCAAGTTGGTGGGCGTGGCGTCCGAGTCAAAAGCGCCGCGGAAGAGTTTCACGAGCAACACGCAATTCTTCGCAATGGACGGAGTAAAGGACAAGTTAAAGGGTGACGAGAGGGGCCACCTGGTGGCGTCCACGATCGGCGGCCCGTCCGATGACAGCTGGAACATGGTGCCTCAGCAAGCGAGTGTGAACCGGAAGCTCTCAAAGGAGAGCAACATAATGGCCCGGTGGGATGAATTCGAAAAGTGGATGCTGCTGGAGATCGGACGAAAAAATACGGTTCAATTCACTATCAAGGTGAATTACGATAATGCCAGAGGCTGCCGGCCGGTCAGTTTCGAGGTGGACGCCACTTCCAGCGCTAAACCCTCCACAGGCTTCAGGGGCACATTCGACAACAGGCCGGACGATCCTTTCAGTACTGTCGCGGAAACGCAAGCGGCAATGAAAGGCAAGAAGCCGTGACTTCTCGGTCATAGCGAGTGGAGACTATAGTGATACTCATAATTTTGTTTTATATTATTACTGTTTTATTTCGCGGATTACTTAACATATGGGGAGTACATCTGGTACTATACATTAGTTTCTATCATAGAAATCAATATTTTTTTTAGTCTTATCATTCAGTTTGATTTCTTAGATTTATTATAGGTACACAGTATTATTTTATATAATTGGGCTTTATTCTCAGAAATAAAAAAAACTAATGCAATTATTTTTTATTGTATTCTCTATTACTTTTTGAATTGGAGGTAATTTTAAGGTTATTAGTAAATTCGTAGAATATGACTGTTTTTGAAAAATAATATTTAAGAAATTAGTAATAATAATATTATGTAAATATCCAATCATATATTTTTAATATACAATAAGCTTTTCACATAAGGTAACCATTAAAAATGTATGTCTTAAAATAACCGGTATAGCTGTATGTAAACTGTAGTGTCCTGTATGAAATTTTTTTTATGTTACTTTGTATGAATATAATAATAATTAATAAATAATTACAAATTTTTAGATGACTATATTATCGTAATATACTAATATGTACTTATATATTTTACAACAATAACTCTGTATGGGGATCACAAAAATTTTATTTGAACATTCTGTTTATCTATATAATTATAGTTTACCTGACACTATTTTTTTAATTTGGGTATTTTAGTATGCTAAATAACGACGGAGTAATCTTGCAGTTGGGCATAATTTAAAGTTATGGTAATTTAACATGTTAGTGGGTTTTTGTGATAAGTTTGGTGTAATACACTAATACCATAATTAGTGGGTCCAAAGGGTTCGTCTTCCAATATTTCAGTACTGTGGTCAGCACTACGTATGGTGTTTCAAAACAAATCCGAAGAAATATTCGAATTGCGAAGTTAAGTAGTATCGACCTACCGAGTATATAAGTATATAAGTGCCAACCACAGTGAACCACTCAAATACCTGGGCCATAATTGAACATTTTGTGCCCTGGGGCAACCTATCCTTTTTCCCATAAAAAGTTATTTCTTAAAATGTAAAGTATTACTACTATTTTGTATCATAAATTTAGTTTAGCTCCCAAACGATTTTTGAAATTTTTTTTGGAAAATCTTTATTATATTACGTACGGTGTAATCAGAATTTGTCGATCGAACTTAGTTTCAAAGTAATAAACTTTTAATAACCTCGATGAGTACTTACAGTATCCAATACAATTATATAGGTAGTTACTATAGGTGATGTTATGTAATATTATTATGATGAGTAAGGATTACTTTAAAAATATTTAAGTTTTATTTTTAAGAATGGATTTCAATTTACTGTAGTAGGTGTTTGCACTGTTTACGGGGGGTTTTCCACACTTAAGGTTGATTAAAAACGTTTTCGAGAAACCTACAAGAAAATATTATAGTATTATACTGTCAAGACATGCTTCGATTTATCATAATATAACATTAAATAGGTATAGATGAAATGTCAATATTTTTCAAATGTATACAAATTAGTTTTACCTACGTAATATTTCATATTTGTAGTATAGTAATAAGTATTTATAAAATAAAATCTCTATTTGTATTGTTTATGCCTTAACTAATAATTATAACCATCCAACTGGCCACCTTCATACAAATTTCTAGTTATAGCTATATTAGTACGATGCTTGAATTAAGCTTGACTACTTAGTGGTAAATTGTTCCATACTGAAAATAATTCCTATCTACGCTAAGTACTGCGTTACCATATGATACTATCAGTGTGGTTAGATGGTTATTAATGACTAGTAATATCGTTTACCTAATCAATATTATCAAATAATGTCAATATTTTTTAATTTCAAATTTGTCAAATATTATGCAAATTCTGCACATAGTTTCTACATTGTGATAGTTTAAAAATAGGAACTATTATGGATGCCTACCCCGAGTGTTGATAATGATCGTTCGACATATTACTGATAAAATTATAAATATTTTTAAGGACCTAATTATGATATTACAGAATATAATTCTGAATTAAAATTAATGAATGGACTATGAGACCAGTTGTAATTTCTCTCGATTCCCCGATTTATGGGGATAATAATTATGATACTGTAATTCATTATAATTATTATTGATTGTTCATTTACAAAATTAATGCCATTCATTATTATAATTCAAAGTATTGCTGTACAATATACATTTCTAAAGTAGTAAATAATTTTATAGTACTTCATAATTTATTTTTGAAATGGACTTGATTACTAAATTATTAAACCACTTAATTTAGACTTATTTTTCATAAGACGATCATGTACATAGCTGTTCTAAAAATAAATCTAGGAATTAGGAAAGTAATGAATAAAAATATGCGATAAACATATTTTTGGGGAAAGTTTTAACCACGTATAATCTCCCTCCATTTTGAGTGCACAATAATTATATATAGCGGACCTATCGCTTATATACGCTTTATTTGCTTATTTTGTATTATTAGTACTTACTTATTTAATTTCGTAGTTCCTATTTGTCAGTATTTTGTAGTGTTCTATAAGCTTTATAAAAACTGGGAGGTAAAGCAAAATACGAATATGAGTATGAATTTTGTTTTACATCTCATAATATTATAAATTTATAAAACTTTTAATGGAATAGTATTAGTAATATTGTAAATATATACACATTAAATAAATATAAAAATTTTTATATTATAAAATTATCAATAGGCTGAGAAATCAAACTAATTTTTTAACATGTTAAGTTTACTAATGAAAATTAATTTTCCCTTTTTTAGAAAGAATCAGTAACTTGGCTCAGTAAACGATTATTAGTTTTTTTTTAACTGAATATTTACAATCAACCTGTGCTAAAGCATAATAACTTAATCAATTAAAAGTGTACACACAAAAACAAAAATGTATATGTGCAGAGTAAAAAAATATATATAGGTAAAAGTAATATTAAACCATTAGCCGTATCTCTTTCCTGTTCAATACACATAGTAATTACTAATTAGTACTGCATACATATTATTCTGTTATTATAGTATTATACTTGAGTTATTGTAATACATTATATAGGTAATATATTATGTACTTATTCGTTGTTTATAGGTACTTGTTATTTGTTAGTCGATTCAGTAATCACTAATATAAAGTTGTATTTATATTTTATATATGTACCTTCGTTCTACGTAATTTTGATCTTCATTAAAATCTGGACATTTTTTTTTTTACAATAATTTGTACAAACAATTTATATTTTAAAACCATGGGGGACTTGTATATTATGTTTGGAAAAATTAATTTAATGTGACTATTCAACTAACAATTAATTTACTGAATACTGATTAGTAACTTCTAAAATAGTAATTGTATATTATCATGGAAAAAGTTAACTCGGCAAGTTAGAAGTTGCATTTAAAAAAAGAAACTTATTAAGTAACAACTTTCATTATTTAGTTATTAAATTATTTTAAAAGTAATTTAACTTTAAATTTAACTCGTTTATTCCCAGCCTTGAAAATCATATTTACATATAATGCATGCGCTTGTGCACGATGTTAACTATTATATAGCAGCTGAATTTCAATTTCGATTAGGTCTTACTACTTAGTGTCTAGTGACTTAGATATCAGATAATAAAACAAATGTATAATTTAAAAAAAAAACTATGCGTATAGTAACATACTTATTTAGTTATATAGTATTATATATTATCAGTTATCACTGTCCAGTGTCCACTGATACAATGGTATGCGAGCTTACCGTATATTATAATTATAATATTACTCGTTGTACCTACAAATTGCATTATTATTTATTCACAGTGGGATTCCCTATCGTTAAAATATTGCGTTTTATCCGAATTCACTGGGAAAAAACCCACAACGGCAATAATAAATAATAATTGGGTACCTGCTGGTATTTTACAGCGTGATTTGCGTACCAAGTTACCTACCAATCCACTGCACGTGAACTAGTGATGCCGCGATGGGCACTATCGAATATGGTATTCGATTCTTAGCAGTTAGCAATCTATCAAATTATGATTCAAATATTTTAAATACTTATTCGATTAGAATAGTTCGATTGCGGCAGACAATCGAATAATTCGATAATACTTTTTCAATAGTGTACTGTCCGTCACTAACACGATATAAATACGGTCGTGGGGTGAGAACAGCAGGTAGTGTCACTTTGCAAGTCAATAACTATATACGAAATCAAATTTTATGATTAGGTACTCATATTTTTAAGTTATTTTATAGTCATTATTCATTAAACGTGTCGCCATAATATACCGTAACTAATAATACTTTCCGAGCAGGTAACATAGTTTTCGATCAGTCCGGTTCGATATTAATTTACGCTATCATATTGATATTATTTTATCCAAAGTCGACCACCGATATTTCAAGATGACGTGGAGAGACAACGTGAATACTCAGGTGACGTGCACCGTACTGCTGTTGATCGGGGCGGTGTTCGTTGTCAACGTCGGAGCGTCCACCAAGTACACGCTGCTCGGCAAGAACCAAATCGAAGTGACTACGTCGACGGTGACGTGCAAGAACGGCAATCCCGTGTCGGTGACCTCCGGCGTGAAGGGTGAGCTGTACGTGCTGTCGACGACCAGGACGAATTTCTCGGGCGACAAGTGGAAGAGGCGGATGGCCGAGTTGGACAGGGAGTCGGACGACGAACAGGGGCACGTGGTGGCGTCCGTTTTCGGCGGGCCCGTCGAGACATGGAACCTGGTGCCGCAGCACCGGAGCGTCAACAGGAAGATCAACGCGCAGAGCAGCCTGCTCAACCGCTGGGACGAGTTCGAGAAGTGGACGCGTGAACAGCTGGGCAAAAAGAACGGCGCCCCGGTCAAGTTTTCCATCAAGATAAAGTACGCGGCCAACAACGGATGCAGGCCAATCGGTTTCGAAATCGACGCCACCAGCAAAGCGGGACCTGGGTTCCAGGGGAAATTCGACAACGGCCCTTACGGGGCTTTCGCCACCGCCAGCAAAAAAACGACGAAGAAAAAGCCGTGATGCAGACCGGCAACCCATGTAATGGTCCGCCAACGATACGGTTTCTGTGATGGTTACTGATTCGCCATTTTTATTCCATAATATTATACTAACATTTATAAATCTTTTTTTTACATTTATAAGTTTTAATTACCGTAACACGGAGTTGTTCACTTTATACACATTTTGAATATTATTTGTTTATTTGTGTATATAAAAAAAGTATTTGAGTTAAAATTTTGAATTTTCTATTGGTTACTCTGGAGTCTGAGGTACTTGAGAGACATTTCTCTGTATTTATACGTAGGTCAACAAATATTTGTTTTTACAGTGGTTTTGACAAATAAAAATTACAAGTGTAGTTTTCAATGGAAATGCATAATAGAATCGATCCAAAGATTCGACGATAAATTTTTCAATATAGACAATAATAAATCAATCGTATTGGCAGAAAGTTAAAAACATTAATAGTTAATACTTGTGATAGGTACCTATTCTAGGCACATCGCATATAATATTTCTATAGGCGCAGACGTCAACAATAATATATTCAATTTTTATTGCATAACTAAGAATAAACAACAGTGTGAAAATATTATTATGATGTAAATATATGAGTGTTTGATTATAAAACAAAAATACTTAGGCCATATTTACTTCTCGTACAAAGTCGTACCTAACATGTTGCATGGGTACAATGAAGCACATATTATACCATAATATGTCCATATATGTGTAAACCGGCTGCAAAATCAGTTAAAGTATGGACTGATTTCGTAAGTATAATTATTAGGTGTTAAACAGTAGACACCTTGTATAATTACTATATACATTTAATATAATTAAGTCCATATGTAATAACTAATAAGTATATTTTACATTACACAAATATTGAAAATATTCAATTTTAAAATAATACAAAACAAGAATAATAAAAATGTTAAAAACTATTTACGATCTTGTCAAAGAATAAAACAGTATAATATGCATTATGCACTTATATAATATAGTCATGCAGTAGATAGGCCTACTTGCACAAGTGTACAACCATACTAACTACCTACACAAGTTACACTTGTACAATACTAATGCGTTAACTATCTAACATAACAATGTATAGTATAATATTGTATCTTATTGTCCAGGTTTATACGTCGCCAATACTATGGCCTATTACATCAAACTTCAATAAAGCTAAACTCTGTTCTTACACGTTTGTGGTATTAATGTGAATTTTGTAATTACCCACGTGATAATTACATAATATTATTAATTATTATTTATGACCTCACACCGATTCCCGTTTTAATGAGTTTTTTTTTCATTACTTTGATATATTATAATATGGTATCATATGCGTTGCAAACAATGAGTTATAATTTAATTCATCCTTAGTTAAGATGATATATTTTCAGGCCGATATGCTAGATGTTGTTTGTGGGTATTTGAAATATATTGTGAAATTAATGTCGTACGACGTTTATGAAGTGAGACCTCATAATAACACAGTTGACTCTCGGACTTCGGTACATAATTCAAACCTCGATAACTTGAAATTATCGATATCTCAAATACATACATAAAATTCTAATAAGACTCCGGGTGTATACCATAATTTTATGTGATTGTATTTATATATAATTCAAGTGGCAGTAATGCAGTATCATTTCATGTCCAAAAGGACTCACCCGAGAATATAAAAATAAACAAATAGGTAAATAATGATATTTAAATGTTTTTTTTTGACAAATTTGATTTTTTTCAATTTTTGTTGATTAGTCAGTGAAAAAATATGCACTGCCGTCTAGCTGACAATTTTGCTTAGGTTTAGCTTTGAAATACAAATAATTTAATACTAGTGAATTACTAAATTATTTTTAAATGCTATTGCCACATAAATATTAAAAGCTATTGACAAGGTATATATGTCAAATAAAGTAAAAGAAGTAAAAATACACTATGACACACGCGTGATTCAAGTCAAGTGTACAAGTTAATTATATTTTTATGATTAAAGTGTATATTTATGACTTATGCGAGCATAGAACTGTGAAGTTCTTTTTATTAATAACTGATTTTGAAAATAATATAACAGCATCTGGTAACTAATTAAAAGTTCATCTGTTGTCAAGAAAATATATTAATAGATTGCACATTTTCTTACTGTCCGAGGTTTTTATCAATTATTTACAATTCACGCAGTAAATAGTGGACATTATATTCCATAAGTTTGCCAAGAAACTATTGTAGGTATATGAAAAATCTTTAAAAGGTTTTATTGATGTTTGTAAACCAATTATTAATTAAATTCAATCCAAAACTACGAATTGTAGATTTTGAGAAAAGTTTACATGATGCTATAATATTACTGTTTGGCTTACTCTTATTTTACATAGTTGTCGTTTTTATACATCTCGTACGTGGTGGAGTAAAATTCAAAATGCAGGCTTATCTAACGAGTATAGACGTATAGTATAAGAATAATTCAACTGAAATTGGACAATAGTTAAGGTGGATATTTAATCTATTACTACTTGAGTCAGAGCAATTACTTTGCAAATGATTTTATAGGTATAAAATATACGGATGAATGTGTCAGTCGATTTAATGATTATCTTATTGACTAATTGATAAATATTATATTGACAAAGACGCAATTTTTCCACAATTTATTTGGGCGTCGTGCAATTTACCATGTGAAAGGCTACAAATTCCTGTGAGTCATTTCACTGAGTGAAATTAGGAAAATACTTTTTAAACAGCTCACTTAAATATTTTTGTATTTTTGAAAGTTTTGAAACTTTAACATGTACAAACATACATCAAATAGAACCTATTGAAAAAGAAAATAAGATACAAAATTGCAAATTGCATACATAAAAACAAAACTATCGAAGTTCGTATCTAAAGATATAAACACGGCAGTAATGCAGGTATAAATATATTTCAATTTATGCAGATAGTAAATCATCATAGCAAAAAATAATAGTTACAGTTACATTTTCACGATTTATTCTAATATGTTGATCGTAATATTTTATTTAAGTCTTAAGAAGAATTATAAGATGCAATTCTTAACAAGTTATTTTACGTTAACGCTTATAACTGATTACGATTTATTTATTTTTTGGATTTTTAATTTTTTTTGTACATTCAATTAAAGTAAAATATCTAAAAATATTAAAGTGAATATTGTTTGTATGATATTTTCCAAAATAAAACCGATGTATACCTATATTTAGTTTGTGATAAATCGACCAACGAGAAAAAAATGGTGCAATTTACGAGCACGTAGATTTTGTAAGTATAGTAAAAAGATAAATTAATTTACCAAATAGATTTACTTTCCCATCAGAAAATATGGTGGAGTAGAAAATCAAAAAATGTATACAGCTTCAATAGGTGATTACAGACACAAAATAAAATAAAAACATAGGTACATCATTGTAAAATTAATACACTCATCTCTCCGCTGACCGCTCGGAATCTAATATAGCTCTAAACCAATGTCCAAATTAATTTTATTCTTCGATAATGATCCGACACTGGAATTTTTCTAATATTTCAAATGAACTATTGTTAAAGCATAATAATATCATTAAACCTAATATAGGGACCTATTATGTAGACATTGTTTTTACAGTTGAGCCACTGGTATATGGGAGCAAAATGAGCTATACTCCTCGCTACAATTATATATTTAGCCTGGAGCATATTTTTTCACAGCAATCAGCATAATGTAATGTTATAAAGGCACAGACACATTTTGAAAGTTGAATAATATACGCCATGGGGCCATCGCCATATTCCCGGTGAATACTTTTAAGATTTACTTTTATACCAAGTGATACCATATACCGTATTTGCCAGTAACCGTTTAATTGTGGCTACTATCGGCATATCTCTAATGTAAACAAACTATTGATAAGGCATAATAATTATTAATTGTATAAAAAAATATATTTTTTTTGCTTTTAGTATTTTAACACTTATTGATTTATTTTTGAAATAATAATGCTAGTACCTACTTTGTTTGTTATTTCTAAAAAAAACTAATTATTAAATGTTTAGTATTACTTATTTTTGGCCACCAATATTGTCCTCCAAAGTGTTAGAATGGTTTCCCGGTAAAATCTATCAGCTATCAGATTCAAGTAAATATTTTTAATAATTTCTTATTCTAATTAAGACACATACTTTAAAATATAATAAATCATAGCCTAATATAGTAAACTCTCAACTATCTGCAGAATAGCAGCTGCAGCAGCTGCTGATCCCTTAGCAATTTCCTTGTTTATTTTAAAAATACAAAACGAAACAAAAATGGTTTTACTTTATTATTAAAAAAAAAGTTATATTATGTAATATTAAATAGTATTTAAAGAAAATTAGAAAAGTACAATCACTTTTACTTAAACATTCATGTACTTAATATAATATATTTATATTTATTTTTTTACAAAAACATATAATATCATTGTATATAAAAACTGTTTTTAGTACTGTACTATGTACCTCTGAAGTCTGAAGACCAGTGACCACAGATAATCCACCAGTTGATAATCGAGAGTTAACTGTATTATAGTCTACATAAGGGGTCATCAAATGGTAGCCTAATGAAAACTTTATCTAGCTCAGGTAAGAAATTTATTACATTTGGTTGTGATTTTATAGTTCTCAATTTTTGATTTTGCCTTCACTTACTTATCTTAAGAAAAATATGTAGAATTAATGATATAAGGTAATCTCATCATAATTTAAACACGTACATTACATTTTGATGGCCTCCTACTTCTTGAATTTAAATGTGGTTTTAACTGGAAATATATTTAATTATTCTGTATCCATACAACTAGAAATACAATGTAAATACTTCATTGTGTATTACGATCAGTGATTGAAACGTTCACTAAAAACATGAATTTGTCTACGTTTATGTTCAGTACTTAAAAAAGGAAATCTTTCACAATTGTGTTTTTTTTCAAATGAAAGCGTTCGCTAGTTCGTTCATTTAATTTTTTTTAATTTTTCAATAGGAATTATAATAAGAAAATATAATTATATAATAAAATTAATCAATATATTTTAAACTTATATTTATTAAATGGAAAATAAATTGAGCGTCTTAAACATTGTTCAAATTCATTAAAATATAAACATCGTTCACATTCAATTTAATAAAAACGAATGAAGTTAGTATATCGTTGACTAAATATGAACTTGAACGTGCATTCATG